ACAGCCGGCCCACGTAGATTTTCTTGGTAGCACAGAAACTCTCGGCGAGGATTGGCCCGTCATTGTAAATTCAATGCAAACCACAAAAGGGAGGTTTGTTGGCACGCGTTTGGCGCGCCGACTGGTATTTAGGGCGTTTGACGTCTCTACCTTGCTTGCGTTTGCCTGGTCGACGCGCATTTGGCGCGTCGCCCGGTGACTGGCGCGCGTTTGGCGCGACGCCTGCCGCGCCGTTCTGGAGGAGACCTCGGCGTGGAGATCAAGAAAAAAGATGCCCTCAAGAGGCTTCCAAGAATCCATCTGGGCGCCCAAATCGTTCAAGTGCCAATCGCCGTTTCGCTTTCGATGGGCTGACCTCTCAGGCCTCCAGATGCCCTCCAGACGGCCCAACCGACAGGCGCGAATTGTTTCCGTGAGTTTGGTTTCTGGAGAGGGGGCGAGCACGTTGGGGGGAGGGGGTCAGGGCCGGGGGGCAGGTCAGGCAAAGCGGGGGGTCGCCGGGCTCGCGGGCAACTCAGGCCACGACGCGACGTCACATGATTATTCCGCCGCTCGCCCTGGGCGGCCCGCGCCGCCGCGCCTGGATTCGTGTCGGGATGCCGACCAAGCGCTCCGGGAGCGGCCCAGGGACTGGCTGCGTCGGCGCAGTTTCGTCGGACGAACTATGCGACGGCGCGAAGGGGGGGGGGGGGGGGCGCCCGCCCTCGCGGCGGGCGGCGGCGGGCGGGCCCCGAGCTCAGAGAGGGGGCCCAGGCGCGGGCCAGGGGGGGGGGATTCGGGGCCCAGCGGCCCATTTTATAATACGAATTAAAGGCCCCCCTCTGTTCCAGTGCGCAGGAGCGCAGACACGCCACGCACCACCCTTAATTAGTAAATGAGAACTATTACATAATCATCTTTATAATGGAGCAGGGGCGGCGAGCCCGCGCTCGCCGATCCGCGTCATTCGATAGGGTCCGCGCCCGATCGCGGTGGTTCCAGCATGGTTCCACGACGGCTCCGAGAGGTTGAACGTTCACGAACCATCATGAATTCACCCGGTTCCTGCGTGGTTCCACGATCGCTCCGACGTCGCAAGTGTGACGAAACTTTATGAATTCAAAGAGTTCTTGCTTGGTTCCACGATGGTTCCGAGAGGTTGGCAGTTCATCAATCAGTATGAATTCACCGGGTTCTTGCGTGGTTCCACGATGGTTCCGACGTCGCCAGTGCGACGAAACCTCATGAATGCAGAGGGTTCCTGCTTGGTTCCACGATGGTTCCGACGTCGCAAGTATGACGAAACCATATGAATTCACAGGGTTCTTGCTTGGTTCCAAAATGGTTCCACCATGGCTGCGGCGCCGCAAGTGTGACGAAACCGTGTTTTTCGCAAGGTTCCTGCGTGGTTCCACGATGGTTCCGACGCCGCAAGTGTAACGAAATTTTATGAATTCACTAGGCTCCTGCGTGCTTCCACGATGGTTCCGACGTCGCAAGTATGACGAAACCATATGAATTCACAGGGTTCTTGCTTGGTTCCAAAATGGTTCCACCATGGCTGCGGCGCCGCAAGTGTGACGAAACCGTGTTTTTCGCAAGGTTCCTGCGTGGTTCCACGATGGTTCCGACGCCGCAAGTGTAACGAAATTTTATGAATTCACTAGGCTCCTGCGTGCTTCCACGATGTTTCCGACGTCGCAAGTATGACGAAACCATCTAAATTCACCGGGCTCCTGCGCGTTTCCACGATGGGCTCCACGATGGCTCCGACGTCGCAAGTATGGCGAAACCATATGAATTCGCTCGGCTCCTGCGTGTTTCCACGATGGCTCCGCGATGTTTCCGACGTCGCAAGTACGACGACATTTCATGAATTCCCGAGGACCCCCCCCCTTTTGCCCCAAAAAGAGCGCACCCATGCGGCGCAGCAGCGCAGCACATGCTGGACGTTTGATACTGCGTTTCTTTCTCCAGCGAGGAACCGCCGTAGACGCGCCAAGGGGCGGGGCCTTCAGCAACTCGGGATCGCCAGCGACACGGCCTAGGCGGCAAGGGCAGGCGCCAGGCTCCCCAGAGGTTGGGCGTCCATATAGAGTTTCGCGCGCGCCCTCTGCGTTTCCCACCCTGGGAGGGGTCCGAGTGATTCGGCGCGAGCGAGCCCCAGCGCGAGGCGAGCGGGCTGGGTCTGAACGCGAACGAGTCTGGATACGAGTGGGCCTGGTTATGCATAGGTCTGGGCGTGAGTGAGCCTGGGGGGAGTGAATATGAATGAGCGCGCGTCTGATCACGGGCGCATCTGAGCACGAGTGCGTCCGTGCATTTGCGTGGCCTGAACGTGAAGAAGCTGCGTGGGTGTGAGCATATACAGTCGTGAGTCTAACCGTCAGCGGTCGAGTAGAAACGGTTCGGGGCGCGAGTGGATATGGGAACGATTGCGTCCTTGCATGAGCCAGTCTGTGTACGTGTGGCCACGCGTCCATGAGTTTTGCCCATGTCATTCCGCTTCCTCGGCCTTGCCTCCCCTGGCCCCCCCCTGGCACTGCTCCTTTCGCGCGCGGCGCCGGGCGCACCCCGGCCTCGCGACACGTCGGAACAGGCAGCGCTGAGCAGGGCGCGGTTCGCGGGCAAAGAAGGGGGCCTCTGCGGCCGCGAGCAAGCGCGGGCGCGGGCGCTCCGCGAGGTGCGTCACGAGGAGGGGAGAGCGCTTACGGCGAGATGTCCTTCGTGGCCAGCCGCGCGATGAAGACGACGACAGGGAAACCCTCCCGCGACCATCCTAGAACGCAGCCCATCAATGAGTTTTTCGAGCGCGTGGATGCCGACCCCGAGCGGCACCTTGGGAAACTGGCCGACGGGGGGGTCCGCGGCCAGAAACGCGCCCTGCGGGGCCCGAAGCAGACCGCCATAGCGGCGGCGGCGAGTCGTCTGAAGAAGCAAGGCGATGAGCCCGCGCACGACGACATCGCGGCCGCGCGCCCGACGGCCACCTCGAACCCCGACGCGGAGCAGCCCGTGAACGAGAGGGCAGGTGACGCTGTATTCCAGGAGGTTTGCTTCGACGGAGGGGCAGACGACTCGTGGGGCAACAGGCCGCGCCCGTCGCGGAACGCGCTGGACGCAACGAAGTGCCCAGACGGAGGCGGCGGGATTTCGCGAAGCACGCGATGTCTCCGTCGCGCAAGCCGCAGCGGCGCAACGACAGTCTCGCTAGGCGTGACCTCTGCAACTCCGCCCTCCCTCGAACTCGGAGGACGGCGCAAGACATGGCGCTTGCGCGAAAGGGTCTTAAGTTGAACAGCTCCGACGCGTCGCGGGCGCGGCGGGCCCCGGCCCTCGCGCGCGGGAAGCTCCACACTGGGCCGCTGCCTGTGGGGAGACCCCGCCGGGGGCCGAGATCTTGGCGGCCTTTGCGCGGGCTGCTCTGAATCCACGTTTCCCCAGGGGCGGCCGGCGGCCTCGCGGGCTCTTCACGGACCGCGGGAACGGCTGCTGCAACCCTGGCCCAGGGGCAATCACGCAGGAATACCGCGAGGCGTTGAGGCGCCACGACCTGAGGGCATTCGCGGCCCTGTGGACGCTTCTGCGCGGCCTGGCCAGCTCCACGAGGCCACCCCCCACGAGGCCGCGGCGTCGCGGATGCGGGACAGGCTCGCGAAAACGCCCCCGAAGCGGTGCCGGGAGGAGACCCCGGAGGCGCACCGCGCCCGTCCGAAGGCCGGCGCGGCGAAGATCAATAGCGCTTGTGACGTCGACGGCCCGCGCCGCGAGCCGCCGTCCAGAGCGCGGGACCTCGACCGCCGCCAGGGAGACCGCCTCGTCAAGTGATGCGGCTCGCTGAAAAATAGCGCGCGCCGAATTCAAGGAAATTGTCGCACCTGTCCGAAGGGGGCCCCGAAACGACAGAAGATTGCCCCGAGAGAGCTGTCAAACAAATCCCAGGACTCCGCCCCTCCCCAACCCCCCCAAACGCCTCCAAGTGGCTCCCCGAGGCGCACAGTCGGCCAGATAGTCTAGGAAGTTTCTCCAGGCACATCGGGCCGACGATGGCGATGTTGATGTTTATTCTGGTGAGGGTGATGATGATATTGATGTTGATGATGATGGGGATGAGGATGATGATGATGATGATGATGGCGATGGTGATCGTGATGGCGGTGATGGCACTGGTGGTGGTGATGGCGATGGCGACGTCGATGGTGATGGTGATGGTGGCGGTGGTGATGGTGAAGATGATGATAGTCCTGCTGATGGTGGTACTGATGGCGCTGGTGGTAGTGGCGGTTACGGTGGTGTTGATGATGATGGACTAAACGGTCGCAGTGAGGATGTGCACGATTAGTGTCGCGGCGCTGATGTTTGTGATGGGAGTGAGAACGAAAACGATGTTTCGGATGAGAATGCGGATGAGCATGATGATTACTCTTATTCGGACAGGGATGAAGATGAGCATGATGATGACATGCGAGCTTGACTTGACGGCATGGCTAGCAGCACTGGGCCAAGGATTTGTCCCATGATGTTGTTGATGTGTGATTAGGATCATGGTGACTAGTATGATGACGATGGTTAGGATGATGGGGACGAGTATGAGGGTGAGAATGGGAATGCGGATGAGAGTGAAGATGGTCATGACTATGGAACGCATTTGTGCATGTCAGCGTTGTCCATCCAGCGACCCCCCTGCCTGCGCTAGAACATAAGCGCGCGCGATGGTTCACATATATATATATATATACACATATATATATATGTATATGTATACACGCACGTATACCATATCCAAGTCATCACGCCACCATTCCAATTCATCTCCCTCTACTTCCGCGTCGTCGCGTTCCCTCCCATGTTTTGCCTCTTCTTCCTCCTCCTCTCTTTTTCCGCCTAGTCCTCCTCTTCTTCCTCCTCCTCGTCCTCCTCCTCCTCCTCCTCCTCCTCCTCCTCCTCCCCCCCTCTATTCCTCCTCATCTTCATCCTCCTCCTGCTCCTTTGATTCGCCGCTCTGCAAAAGCATCCGCCAGAACGCGCTGAAGAGCAGCGCCGACGCACCGAGGCACCCAGGGGGGCGACATCGCCAGTGCCCAGACGACAGTGGCGCCCCAAGATACGGTAGGTTCGTGTCGTGTCCACGCGGCGGCTACTCCGCCGCAAGCTTTCAAGATTGAATGCTGCCAGTGGCCAAGAATCGGCCAGTATGGAACGATCTTGCGATCGAAAAAGCCGCCGATCGTTCAAGGCTGATCGATCCACGCGGTGTCAGACAAATGCCGAGGTCGTCACGATACGAATCAGCCGTCGGGCGGAAGGAGGGAGGAGGGGGAAAGAGAACCGGGTTGCGAAAGTCGGCGGCGAGCCCAGGGGGGAAGTGAGAAGGAGTAGACCCTCTCAGAAGGCTGGGAAGTCCTGGCCTTCTGATAAGTGTTCTAAGCTGTCCCCGAAGACAGAAAACCTCTCAGAAGCCACGAGGGTTTCTGAGGAGCCCCGCCGCCTTCTGAGAAGGCCTTCTCCTTCTCACTTACCCCCCTCGCTCGCCGCCGAGAAAGAGCGGGAGGAGGAGGAGGAGGAGGAGGAGGAGGAGGCTTGTAGTGTGGCTCTTCACGGGGCAGGTCAGCTCTCCCCAGGTGCAGTCATCCCGCGTAGCAAGGATGCGCAACCTTCTCAAGGGTACATTTGCATCCTTGCTTCCTCGGTCCATCCGACACCCTCGTTGGTCGCGCCCCGCTCGGAGAGATTCGACATGGGCGTCCAAGGCCCTTGCATCCTTCATCGCGCATCCTTGCGATGCAGGCTGACTGTGCCCCCTCCAGGTTTGGGGTCTGTGCCTTGGCGAGTTCCCGAGGGAGGCGGCACCCGTTCTCACCCCCGGGGGGGGGTGGGGGTAGGCCGGTCCGTGGGGCCATGGTTGCCCCGGTGGGGGCAAGGACGATGTACAGTGGAGGCCCGTGCCAAGAAACACCTTGCGTGCCTCCAGGGTGCCATGGGTTTCTTGGGGTTGGATGATTTTGCTCTGGAAGGCTCGACGCTCCCGCACCAAAAAGTGATGGACATCCTGAGGTCTCAGGGTTGGGTTTCTTGTGGAAGGTTCCTTGTGGTCGAGCCCCTACTGTAGCTCGGGCGAGTGTTCAGTGGGGGCGTGACCTAGAAGGAGGTGACGACAGGGGACCTAAATTTAAAGGGACCGTAATACCCGCCCGAGTGGCGCTGATTCCATTGAGGGCAAGCACCACACTGTCGAGCCTGGCTGGGGCTCGTGTGCTTTCCCATCCTTGGAGGTCGGCGTGCGGGAGTCCTGAGTCTCCCACAGGGGTCCGAGTGGATGGGGTCGGAGGGTCGCGCCGCATCGCCGATGCTTCGGCGATGCGGCTCGATGTGAAGCCCGGTTTTCTCCACGCCGACGTCGCCGATGCATCGCCGACGTCGCCGATGCATCGGCAATGCAGCGGCGATGCGGCCCGACGCTCCGACCCCACCCGCTCGGACCCCATCTGGGAGGCCACTTCTGTCGCACCTGGGATTGGCGGTCTCGGTTATTCAAGGTCAACGTTGGGGGGGTGATAGGTTCAAGGGAGTATGCATCGACCCTCAGTCGCCCATTCGTCGCCGAGAAGGGCCCGATAGCCCACCCCGCCCGGGACCGAGCGGTTCTGATATCGGGGGCCAATCGCCGATCTGTGCAGTTGCTTGCGGCAATGCCCGCCACGGTGCCAGCCCAACGTTTCCGGCGGCGATTACTCGAAGGAGGCACGGGAGGTCGTCGCGGGTGTCATTACGTGTTTCCAGGTTTGAGAGAGCCGTGATGAGGAGTATAAGGATGATGGGGATGATGGTGATGGTGACGATAACGATGATGATGGTGATGATGACGAGGATGAGGATGAGGATGAGGATGATGATCGTGCTGGTGGTGGTGATGGTTGATGGTAATGGTGATGATGGTGCTGATGATAAAATTACCGGTGATGATGAAGATGATGTTGATGATGATGATGACGATGATGATGATGTTGGTGATGATGATGTTGTTGATGATGATGGCGCTGATGGTTATGATGATGATGCTGATGGTGGCGATGGTGATAGTGATAGTGATGGCGATGGCGATGGTGATTGTGATGGTGATGGTGATGGCGATGATCATGATGAGGATCATGATTATGATGCTGATGATGATGACGCTGATGATGACGCTGATGATGATGATGGTGATGATGATGACGGCGGTGATGATGATGGTGATGGTGATGGCGATGGTGATGGCGGTGGTGGTGGTGATGATGATGATGGTGATGATGATGATGATGGAGAAGAGGAAGAAGATAATAATGGTCATGATGTTGATGATAATGATGATAATGTTGGTCGTGATATTGGTGATGATGATGGTGGTGGTGACTATGGTCATGATGATGGTGATGCCTCATCTCTGAGTGAAAGTTTCATCTAATATCCCGCCCACCCGATCAGTGTCGTCGGTGTTTGTGATAGATCTTCCCCCAACCGTCTCCCATCACAGAGTGAAGGTTGCATTTAATGTCCCGCCAGCCCGCCCGACTGAACGCCCTATCACTGGGTGAACAGTGCATGTAATGTCCCCCCCGCCCGAACGGCGTTCCATTGTCCACAAATTGTGTCCCCTCACCGTGTGAAGATTGCACTTAATGTCCCACCCGTCGCCATCGCCATCGCTGTTCCCATCGTCGTCGCAAGCTAAAACAAAGCTCAAGCAACATTCAAAGAGCACAAACAAAGCTCCCACGAAGCTCAGACAAAGCTCAAACATAGCTGAAACAAAGCTCAAACAAATCTCTAGCAAAGCACCAACAACGCTCAAACAAAGCTCAAACGAAGGTTAATCAAAGCTCAAATTATCCCAGTGCGACCCTACCTAGGACTTGGAGCCTCTAGTAGGAGCGGTAAACGCCGTCCTCCTCCTTCTCCTCACCGTCGTAGTTGTAGCCGTAGCGGTAAGATTAGTAGTAGTAGTAGCAGTAGCAGTAGCAGTAGCAGTAGCAGTAGCAGTAGTAGTAGTAGTAGTAGTAGTAGTAGTAGTAGTAGTAGTAGTAGGTAGTAGGTAGTAGTAGTAGTAGCAGTAGCAGTAGCAGTAGCAGTAGTAGTAGTAGTAGCAGCAGCAGTAGTAGTAGTAGTAGTAGTAGTAGTAGCAGTAGCGGTAGCAGAAGTAGTAGTAGCAGTAGTAGTAGTAGTCGCCGTAGTAGTAGTCGTAGTAGTAGTAGTAGTAGCAGTCGTCGTCGTAGTCGTAGTCGTAGTAGTAGTAGTAGTAGTAGTAGTAGTAGTAGTAGTAGAAGTAGCAGTAGAAGTAGTAGTATGTAGTAGTAGTAGGTAGTAGTAGGTAGTAGTAGGCAGGTAGTAGGTAGTAGGTAGTAGGTAGTAGGTAGTAGGTAGTAGGTAGTAGTAGTAGTAGTAGTAGTAGTAGTAGTAGTAGTAGTAGTAGGTAGGTAGGTAGGTAGGTAGGTAGGTAGGTAGGTAGGTAGGTAGGTAGGTAGGTAGGTAGGTAGTAGGTAGTAGGTAGTAGGTAATAGGTAGCAGGTAATAGGTAGTAGTCGTAGTAGGAGGAGGAGGGGTAGTAGCAGTACTAGCGCCAGAACCGCCGACGCCACGCCGTGAGTGAAGCAGCAGCAGAAGCAGGCAGCAAGTAGGCCGCTGGCTAAAGAGGCGTCAAGAGGCGTTGAAGATCGGGGCCTCCCCGCGGGTCCTGGGGCCGTCGGCTGCCCGCCGCCCGCTTAATCGCCCGCCCGCGACGTGGTTTCCTCGCCCCCCTCCCCCCTCTCCTGCCCGCCCAGGGCCCCGAACGGGGGCCAGGCCGTTTTCCGCCACCATAATGCACGGGCCCCACGCATCTGGAACCGTTGGCTTCAGCCCACCGTCTTCCTGTGTCACCTTTGTCCCGCCCTGGCAGTTGGCCGCCCCGTTTTGGCTCGGTGTACAGCTCCCCCCCCCCCCCCCCACCGTCAGTTGTTTGGCTCGTGAGTGACTGCCTCGCACATTCTCTCGAGCTACACCTCTCGTGTCATCCACCCGACCAAGTGATGGCGCCTAAGTTCTCGAAGTTTGCGCCGATGCCGCGGCCCGCAAAGACGCGCGCCGCGGGGGAGGCACCAACCTCCAAAGCAAGACCGATGCAGCGCCCTGCCCAGCAGGTAAGCTTGTCGGAGAGCGAAGGCGAGGAGTACGACATGGTGTCCGAGGCGGCGACCTTTCGGACGGCACCTACGGTGCACACGGGATCAGCTACCCCCGCCGAGGACGCCGATGGAGGCGGCGGCACGGGGGCCGCCCCCAGCGCCGCCGCCTCCGATGGCGCCTCGGCGATGCCTGCATCGGCGGTGGTGCCAGTGACATCAGCCGCCCTGGCGGCGGCAGCCACGTATGCCGACTTCACCACAGAGCAGCGGCGCGGACTGGACGCGCTCACACTCGCGCTCCACAACCTTCAGCTGGGGGAGCACGCTGTGGGCGGCCGTGGCGGCCGTGGGACGCGCAGCGAGGCAGACGTGGAACGCGCCGTGGACGACGGGGCCGCCAGCGAGGCCCCGAGCGCTGCGACCACGGGAGCCCTCAGCGGCCGTGGAGGCAAGCGCCACCGCCGACGCAGCAACAAAGCCGTCTACGGCCAGGCCCCCCAGCCGAGCGACGGCGCACCAGCCGCGCTCGAAGACGTAGAGATGACGACGGAGGAGGACTACGCTGAGGCGGGCTACGTCCACTGCATGGGCGCGCACTGGGTCCCGCCGCAACGCCTGGGCTGGTGTCGGAGGTGCACGGCGCTGGACGACTGGAAGATCATGGCGGTGGAGTACGTGGACGAGCTCAGTTGCGCGGAGATGCGCCGCTACGCGGAAGCCAAAGAGCACAACAAGAAATACCCCGATCTGAGGAGGGGTAAAGAGGGGCAGCACAAGCTGTACATGTGCTCGAACTGCGTGGCAACGACGCAGGGCATCTCCGAGCACGAGGCCGCGACGCGCGCTGCGCACGCGAACAAGGGCCCAGGCTCAATTGACCACGCCGCCAAGCGGGTGGCGAAGTTCCGTGCGA